TGCAAAGATGTGTACTTAAATGTGATATAAAGAAGAATGTGTAGTGATGGTTTAATCATTATAGTTATGGTTTGATCATTATTACAAGTTAACAATTATGAAACTTGAGCTTGCTGGAGAATTTAGGTTAGGCATGTTAGACCGGCCCCTAGTGGACAGGTCCAGCCTCTAAGGGGTTAGTTCATGTTTACAGGAGGAGGGGCGGCGGCAAGCGGGAGAGAGAGAGAGATTGGGTGGGATCCTCTTGAGTTCAAATTCAAATTTCAAGCCCAAGGAGGGGGCGGCAAGGGCCTTTAGGTCTTTTTGTCTTTTTGTTTTAATTGTATATTTTTTTCTTTTTGTTTTAATTGTATTCCTTAAGTATGGGAGGGAGATTAGAGTTAGGGTTATGTTTGATGATTGTGTTCTTGTGTGGGTTCTTCTTGGTGTCTTGGGCTCTAGACTCATCTAGAGATTGAGAGAGAACGATCCTCCTCTCGAATTGAGGATCAATTTTATCTTTATTTTCGTTGTTTCCGTTAGATCTCTCTTTTGCAATCCAATTACGATTTGGAGAGTTTTCCACCATATGTTGTGTGATTCAATTGTTGTTTTTTTCTATTCTTGTTAGGGTTTACTTGAAATATTCAAGTATTTTATATAAAATTAGTATCAGAGCAAGTCTTGGGACTATCTGGGGCTGATTTTTTAAAATTTCAGCAGTGAAATATCAGCTGGAGGAAGGAACCCTTGCTGATTTTTGGATCAAAATCTAGAAATTCTGATGGCGGCCAAGAAGGTAGATGCGTTGGAAGAGCATTTTGAAGGAGAGATGAGCCAAAGAAAGCCACAGTTAAGGATAGAATTTCATCCGTAAAAGACAAGGTTTCATCCGTGGAAGATAAGGTTTCGTCCGTGGAAGACAAAGTTTAGACTATTTATGATATGCGTAGTTGTAGGTACAATCTCTAATATGATTTTGGAATATATCATTGAAATTTCAAAGCTTTAATTGTGGCTTGTAACTAATCATTCTTCCTTTTTATCATATTTTATAGATAAGTAATCCAAAACTTTTGATGGGAACAAACCCATTGGATTGTGATGGTGCTAACTTGATCGACCTAAGGTTACTCCAATGAACCTTCTAGACCTTTGAAAATCTACTTAATTGGTTAATATTAGTTTGAAGAGCTATGATGCATCGACACTTATGAAGGCATGCAGTGTCAGATATGTGTCATACATGGACACGCGCTCGACATGACTGGGACTGCATAGGACATGGCCGAAACGTGTTCGATTAAAATAATATTAAAATTTAAACGAGCATGTGTGTCCATTATTTTAATAAAATTTATTAAAAAAAAATAAAAGTCTTTTAACGAGCGGGACTGTGCGTTAGGTTTTATCATGTATCCTTCTGTATTCAAAGTCTGCAAGCAAGGGTTTCATTTCCGCGAGAAGGCGAGTTTTGCGTTTTCGTTTCCATGAGCACCATCGAGGGTTTTGCGTCTTCGCCATTTATGCGAGCAGGCTAGCCGCAGGAGACTTCATTTACGTGAGCAGGCAAGGCCGAATGACAGAGAGAGTCATTGTTTATGCGAGTAGGCGAGGCTATGGAGTTTGCATCTTCGTCTTCTTGTGGAACCATCTTCTCAAGGTATAACCCGTCCTTGTGTCTTCGTCTTCTTTGTTTATGTGAGTTTGCGTCTTCTTGTGGAACTATCTTCTTCAAAACATAATATTTTTTATGTCAATTTGTTTGAAAAACTTTAAACCAATTTTCATTATTTTTTTTTAATGATATTAGCATTATCTTTTTTCTTGTTCATGCATAATTGTAATGTTAAACTCTAAACAATTAGATTCTTTATCCTTTTAATGTTAAAGTTTATGTTTGATAGTATGGTTTTGAACCCTTTCAAAAATTTATTTAAATCTTGTTTGCTAATCTTCATGTGATTTATGTATTACTTACTTTGAAGCTTACCTGAACCATGAGTAAATCTCTCAATAATTATGTGCCTAAATGCATAATAAACAACATTGTTACAAGCATTGTTTTGAAAATTGGACCGGCCGGTTCGACCGGTTCAACCGTGAATCGGTCTTATGGCCGGTTCGGTCCTCCTAAAGAATTGGTCTTGCATCAAACCGGTCAAAACCGGTTTGAGCCGCCGGTTCACTCGGCCAACCGTTGAATTGGTCCCGATTCTTAAGACCGGCCGGTTCAACTAATAATATATTTAAATACTTTAATTTAATATAAAATGTTTAATTAAATATTAAATTAATTTAAATATCATATATTTTATTTAACAATATAAAACACAAATTCATCCTATCATATATTTCAAATATTCAAATTAAAAATAAGTTGGAGGTTTAAAATTATATTTTATATATTTTTCATAGGTATAAATTATATCAAAAAATATAAATTAAATTAGAAATTATTTATATTAAATTTATATATTTATATATAAATTAAATTTTCATTAAACATAAGTTAAAATCGAAGATTGAAGATGTTTATATTTAAATTTAAAATTCGTAATTATTTATATTTAAATATATAACATAAATATAATAATGATTTATATTTAATTTTAAAATTATGTGATATATTATATTTGTATGAATTTTATTTATTTTTTAGTCTCAAAATTCTTAGAATAATGAAAATTTTAAGATTAAATTGTCATTGTTATTATGTTAATTTCATTACTTTTAATAATATTATTATTTATTACGTCATCCGGTTCAACTCCGGTTTGACCGGTCGAACAATGAACCTCTCCTTCTTTTAGTTCGTTGTCTGGTCCGGTTTTCACAACCTTAGTTACAAGCACATAATTTTTTTTAAAAATATAATCTGCTCTCTAATTTTTGTGATATTTGAAGTGTTGCATGCTTATTGCATGTTAATTGTTTTAGCAAAATTAGATGTTTTGAGACCAATATTGGAAGCTTCAATGGTAGGTTATATTATCTTTGTGAGAATACCTTAGAGATTCTGTATATCTCAATGTTAGATGGTTTTTTGCTTTGCACAAAATCTACGGCTAAGACTTGTATACCTTTTCCATGTTTGAATATCAATATTTGAGAAGAATGCCATACGATTATGTGCCTAAATGACTCATTTCTAATATGATGCTATATTAATTTATATATGCTTTCTAAAAATTATAATGTTGTGTCCACTCAGTATCCATGTCCTATATTTTCAATGATAGCCGTGTCCCGTGTCGTGTCGTGTTGTGTTCGTGTCGGTGCATCATAGTTTGAAGAGTAAGCCAACTAAGCCCAAGCTTGGGTGGATTAAGGATTAATCCCAATGTAGGTGGTATTTTAGACTTGATTGGGCCAAGGATATTGAGTTGGACACAAAGACTTATTTGTTCCCACAAAAATGGTTCAGTTTTACGTCAAATGGGGAGCTAGGGTGCTGAAGATTGAAATCCAAGTTATGAGAACTCAGTGGTGTCAAAAGTGAGGTCAACAATGATTGTGCGCTAAGATGTATGGAGAGGCACAATTCATGCGTGCAGTGAAGACTATGGGAGATGCAATTGGGATGTGCAATGAGGGTTATAGGAGACACGATTGGGATGTGTAGAAAGGTTTGTGGGAGACTCAAGTGGTATGTGTTGTAAGGGTTGTGAGAAACATAATTGGAACGTGTGTTATTAGTAGTCTCACGCTCGGAATGAAGGATGCAACATCATACTGTGAGTGAGGGTTTGACTATGTGGAGATGCATATTATTATTATAATTTTGTTTTAAACAAGTATAGAAGGTGGACTGTAGCTCTTATTGCCCAATTATTGTAGATGATTTGATCAAATTGGGCACACTTTCTATTGTTCTAATTCAGTTAGAATTTCAGTCAATCATACTGTAGTTTTTTACTATTTTTCTCTAAGTTTGGGATTGCCTTGATTATGGGCCATCTTTTTTGTTCCTGATCTTGAGGATTTTTCGCAGCAATATTATCTATAACTGTGATTCCTACTATTTGGTTATATGATTCTGGACAAGAGGTGTGCCAACTCTTGAAATTTGTTCTTTTCTATACTTACCCATGGTTCTGTAAAATTTCTGAATTTTCCTAGAATTAAAAAAAAAAACGTAAAATATTTGATATTGCTTTCGATTGCTTTTTATTTACAGATCTCTCAACTCTTGATTGATTTTATTTGTATTTCTAAAAATGCCTCATGTTTTGTAAATGTATTTGAAATTTCTTTAAACCAAAATGTTAATTTTAATAAAAAATTTGATCTTTTTTAATCTCTGTCATCTCTCATTGTTTTCTATTTTTTCGACATATTTGACATATAGAGTTTAATCTCTATCATCTCTCTAGTCCTCTTAAACTCTTTTTCTTTGCAATCACTACTCATTGTTCTTCATAAGTTGATAGTCTGTTTGTTGCAGCTTTTTAATGGTTTTGCTTTCCGGACAACTATTATAATTCTGTATGCATACAACTCTCTTGTTACTTTTTAAAAGTTTTTTTTTATAAGCCATTGTTTACTAGTAAATCTAATAATGTATGGTCGTTAAAAGAAGCTACTACCCAATTTTTTAAAAGCAATAGTTATCCTGCCCATAATAACTTAAAAAAAAACTTATTTATTCCATAATGATCATACAACTACTTATGTGTCAATAGTCTGTTTCACCCAGCTTCACATATGTTGAAGAGAAGAAAAGGCAATAATGCGTCTTATTTCTTTTGCAAATTTAGAAGTTGTTAAAAGTAAATAAGTGCTAGAGTGACTTCAAGTGGCGTATAGACAGTTGATTTACATGTTCTTCAATCGTTATATTGATTAGAGCTGTTGTGGTAATAAGCTAATGAAGCCAATCTTTTATTGATGTTTTCACATGTTCCGTGGAGTTTTTTTTTTCTATTTTTGGTACACCTTAAGTTTTGCATGCAGAATGGTTTTTGTTACATTTAAGTATCCACCCTCATTCTCATCTGGATATTTGGAGTTTGGAGCAGATATTTATCTCCGAACAGAAGCTTTACACTAGATCACAGCTGAGGCAGCACGTAACCACTGGTGATTCAGAGGTGGACGGCAGCGAGAGTGAGCGTGGTGGCTTTACAGGCCATCCCATGTGTGAATTCTGCAAAAACCCCTTTTATGGAGATACCGAACTCTACATGCATATGTCGAGAGAACATTTCACCTGCCACATCTGCCAGAGGTGTGCATACGTTCTCCTAAGGAAATGTTTTGTTGTCATAATGTTACTGAAAACAATTAAAGATGGATTGACCTTACTTTTGTTATGCAGGCAACATCCTGGTCAGTATGATTATTATAGGAGCTATGAGGACCTAGAGGTACAATTCTTTCACGTCCTTCCACCATAATGAGCCTTGTTCCATAAACATTCCTGCAGGCCATCCATTTGTTTCAACAATGATAATGTTGGATGTTTTTCTTCTTGATGCCTGCATTTGTTGCTCTTTTCCTTTTCTATAAAATGAGTTTCTTATATTGCTTGATCAACAGACTCATTTCCTGCAAGACCATTTTTTATGTGAAAATGAAGCCTGCCTGGCAAAGAAGTTTGTTGTCTTTCAAACTGATGCTGAAATGAAGGTGATTGCAAACTTAATTTAAAAATTTAAACTTTAACATCTCCATATGGATTTTATCTAGATTGGTTAGATTACTTCCGGGTTTTTTTTTTTTCCGGAATGGTGAGTAAGCTATGAGCAGGACTGTTTACAAGCTTTTGCTGGAAATTTATTTTCAGAGGCACAATGCTATTGAGCATGGGGGTCACATGTCACGTGCCAAGAGGAATGCTGCCCTTCAGGTATGCAGAATTTAAGCTCCTGTCTTAGTGGGCAACTGCATCAGCTTTTTTTATTTAGCTTTTCTTTTGGAAATTGATTGCTTGAAGCTCATCTTTAGTATTGTTAGATTTTAAGCTTTTCCTGTTGGATTTTCAACCTTTTTGCAGATACCTATTAGTTTTAGATATCGACGGAATGAGCAAGACCAACGACGAGGAAGAAGACGTGATCTTCATCCTGAACCATCTGATAACCAATTAAATATGGCAATACAAGCTAGTTTGGAGACTGCATTTTCAGAGGGTAGGCTTCATGACTCATCATATGGTAGTAGACTAAATGCTGAACATGGAGAAGCAAGTCAAGCTGATGAAATCACAAGTTCCATGGAACCATTAGCTATCTCTTCACAGTCTGAACCGGTCTCTTCAAGATCTATTGCAGCCAATAGAAATGGCTCTGGAAATGAATCTATTCTTCAGGATATATCCTTTCCTCCCCTCTCTGATTTTGAACCACCACAACCATCGTCCAGGTATGCACAGGTTCTTAATCAAAGGAGCAGAGCTAGTTTGGGAGAAGAATCATTTCCTCCACTACATGGACTGAGAGAAAGCAATAAGCCAAAGCCTGGACCTGTTTCAGACGGCTTAGTGTCAGATACAATTGCATCTCGTATTAATCCTCGTAAGAAGGGTTCTGTGAAAATTCTGCACTCTGCTCAGTCGAGGCCAGTTGAAAACTATGAAGCTGGCTCCTCTGCTTCTTCAAGTTCTCACATGAGATCCACACAGAATTCTCAACCAGCTCCTTCAACTTCTTCATATTCTAGGCCTAGGGGTTTGCTGAGTCAGGTGGCTCCACCATCCAGTTCTGTCTCTCAGGTTACTCAAGTAGGAGAAAATGGGTTTGCACCCACTATTCCTACAAATTCTGCATGGAAACCTAATGACATGAGAATTAAGCATTCAGCATCATCTCCTAATCTCCACAACAGTGATCCTTCAGAGGCCACTACATCCCAAATGGTATCTGCTATCACTTCAAATAAAGAATCGCCAGCACTTACAGAATCTCTGCCACATGTGGATGTTCAGAGAGCGAACAAATCTTTGGTAGAGAGTATTCGTGCCGGTTTAGGAATGGATGAGAATAAATATGCAGCATTCAGAAGCATTTCTGCTGAATATCGTCAGAGCCTTATAAATTCTTGGGAATATCTCTCTTATGTCGAGCAGTTTGGCCTTTCACATCTTGTTCTTGAACTAGCTCAGCTCTGCCCTGATCCCCATAAACAGAAGGAACTTGTTGATGCTTATAATGCTAATCTACTTGCTAATAATCAGCGTGAAAACACTAGTAATGCTGTTTTCTCAAAGAAAGATGCGAAGAAGGGGAAAGGAAAGACAAAAGTTATTGGTCACACAGAAAATTCTACTGCAAAAGATGCATTGGCGGATAGCATTTTAGAACAGGTTAGAAAGCTGCAGTCAAGTCGCCATCCTTTAGACAATGAAGTGGAGGTTTTGACAAAGGATGGGTACCGAAGTAATATGGTTAAAATTCCTTCAGCCATAGAAGTTGGGGGCAATACAGGCTCTGTGAACTCAACTGTCAGTGGTTCAGGCAGTAAAAAAGAAATCGTTACTAACAATGGCTTGGGAGGCGAAGGACATAAGAAAAACAAAAAGACGTCAAAGTTCAACAGAATTCGCCTGGGTGATGGTTCAGCTGCAGCTTTTCTTGATCTACGTCATCAGCAAACTAGCCCTGAAAAAACCGACGAGGACAGAAGAAACAAGCCAGCTGATGTGTTACCAGCTCGGGGTGTTTGGGGTAAAGGGGGCGGACAGAAACTTTTCACGCAGACAGGCACCTCCAAATGAGACTATTCTCGCAGTTTTTATTCTTTTGTTTTTTTAAAAGTTACTTTTGTGTAGTTATTAATTTACTATGTCATGCCATATTTGTTTTTTTAGTGCAAGCAGGAGCCAGAGCAGAGTAAGCGGGTAAAACTTTGTGAAGATGTTTAATGTCTTGGTTTTCCCTATCGCACTGCAGAAATTGAGGTAAATCATATATAATACTTGTATAATGAGGTATTGGCGGCTTTTTTTTTAGGAAATAATATGATTTTATTCTTCTTTATGTTTTCTAAATATTTTTGGAGACATGCCAAGGCATCTTCCAGTGTACCATAATTGCGGAGGAATGCCTGTTATTTATTGGAACTTGATAGTTTTTGACTTTTCATTTCAATACATTGGCCTATCCCTGTTTGGAGGCTTTATCTCATTGTTCTTGCTATGCAAGTTCTTCTATTGGAATAATTTTGTTGATACCTGTGTTTAAAGGCATGCTTAAAGGTTAATTTGAGACGTTTACAACTGTATATGAAATTTGTTGTGGAGTTGTTATGGGAAATGCTTAATTTTTTAATGTTTTTATGGATAAATATATGTTTTTTTTTTCTAGAAAAAAAGTTGGATAACTTTCTTAAAGCTATCGCATTTTAAGCTAATATGATTATGAAAAACTTATCGAAAAAAAAAAAAATCTTTAAAAATTATAAGAAAATTGTATTCAAACGGAAGTGTAATAGTTTTCTATAAAACTGAGAAAGAGCTATCATAAATGCCCCTTTAAGGTAGTAATTATCTCCTTTACTTAAAATCCGTCTAATTGTTATTTTGATCGAACATATCCACAAAATCTTTGCATTCTAATGGGGTGTGCTAAGGACTAGGGGTGTCAATTTCGGGTCACGGGTCGGGTTCGGGTCGAACCCGAAATTGACCCAGCACTATTCTGGTCAACCCGAACCCGACCCGTTTTTAGAAACGGGTCAATTTTCCTGACCCGAACCCGACCCCGACCCGCTTCGGGTCCGGGTCAACCCGGCACGACCCGAATGACCCATTTCCAACAAAAAAATGGCTAATTTTTAGGTAAAAAACGGGTCAATCTCCTCTTATCGGGTCAAAAATGGGTCAAAATCGGGTCAATCTCGGGTTGTCTGGTCAAAATCGGGTTTTCGGGTCAAAATCGGGTCACTTTCGGGTCAAAGGGTTAACCTGAACCTGACCCGATTTTTGAAACGGGTCGAAATGCTGAACCCGAACCCGACCCGTTTCGGGTTCGGGTTGACCCTAACCCGAAATTTTCGGGTCGGGTTCGGGTCGGGTTTTCGGGTCATGTCAAATATTGACACCCCTACTAAGGACTAAGCACTTATTTTATAGAAAAATATGGGCCTCTGATTTCTACAGATAAATAATATATTGATTGTATGTTTCTTCACTGGTCGTCAAACTTTGAAACTAATCAAATCAAATCTGTCTAGTTTAGCACCAAATGGAAATTGATTGATGTAGCACTAGATATATTGTTTGTTTAATATTAGAAGAAATTTGCCACAACAATACCATAAGATTTTCTGGTTTAGAATCAGAGCGAAATTGGTTTTGCAACAGAGAGATTGCTGTATTAGCATTGATTTATTGGTTCAATGCTAAAATATTTGTTTGTTTAGCACTCGAGGGATTGTTGGTTTAGCACTAGATAGATTGATGGTGTAGCTCTAGAGGGAAATTTGACGCTTGATGAGTTCCTAGTTGACTCATCAAGTGATTTGGGGCTTACATATTAAGAATGTTGGAAGAGTGGTTCTGGCTACCTCACCTTGGATACAGCTTGAGGTTGAGTGGTGTGAGACTTTATTTATTGACAATGCAGCCCAAGGAAACTTTTGGGGCTGGTTTAACTCTCTGTTTTGTGTACCCAGGGGCTTGAGCGTTCAGATTGATTCAAATGTTTTGTTGCGACATATGATCTTGATTTTCTGGGGCTTGTCTTGGGCATGATATTGACAAGGGCGTAAAGGACTTATTATTTTTATTTTGGAGGGGCTGAAAAATTGATTTGATTCATTGGAGGATGAGGCTTGCATTCATAATTTTATAGAGGATGTGGTTGTGGTTTGACTTTTGATGGCACGATTAAATTTGGGATCAACGGGGGGTTGGCATCAATTTGAATTGCAGCTTAGCGTTGGGTTGGGATTAGAATATCCCAACAAGTGTCATAAGTATCTTGATAAAGGTTTTGGTGAGTGGCTTAAACATGAATTGGCTGCAACGGGTAGAAGGCAAGGGCCTTGGGAAAAGATGCACGAGTATTCAGGCAAACTCAATAACGATTGATTGTATAAATGTTCTTCTCACCAAATGGTGCCAAATGAGGGGCTTGTCCTAGCAAGTGGTGTGGAGTAGATGTATTAAAGGGTTTGTATTATGAGTGTAAAATAAAATAAAATTATGGGTTTTGATTTCTTTTGTGTTTGGTTTGAAGAAAAAAAATATATTAAGTATTTTATAATATTTACTATTGGTGTAGTTATAAACCCAAGAGGGAATACAGCAAATAAATATATATGAGATTTTACATTCTTCTATTTAACGCTGTAATGAGTTGGTGTCCATTTTCATGAAATGAAACCCCATGACGTCTCTGTACTCCCCTGTCCCAAGGCATCGGTTGCAGTATTGGTGTATGTTTTAATAGATGAGGGTTAAATTATCATATCATATCCATGTCTTTATGCATTAGGTTGATTAATAATATTTATGCGTTTAAGAATGATAAATCTACTGTAAAGTTTTTGGATATTATAACCAATTTTGTATCTCCCTAGATGTTTGTCATATAATCTTATAGAGTACTTATTTATGGAGTTGAGATATTGTGTATATCTATAGAAAATTATGGAAGATTGTTTTAGTATTTAATTATACTCCATAGTGAAGGTTCTTAAAGTAGCACAATAAATACAAAGAGTTGTAATCATTTTAAAAAATGATAAGATTATTTAGCTCCATTTAGTAGGACTTAATAACCTAGGAGTTCCAAGGTAATAAAATGAGATGGGGCCTAGGATGAGCTATGAGAAGAAGCTGAAGAAGCAACCCTCCTTGTCAACTAAAGCAAGGCAAAAGATGAAGCTTTATTATTAATTAAGATATTAGTAAAAAAGGACTCTATCTTGACAACTTAGGCAGGCCATATAAAGGGATTACCCTCCATGGTGCAAAACCAACCTGAGTGAAACGTAAGGGGTAGAAGAGGACACACATCTATGGCCATTTGCAAGTATAAATGGCTTCCAAAAGGAGAAATTTTTATTATATAGGCTCCATCAAACTATTAAGTCTAATGGTATGTGCAAAAGTCCATTTTAAATGCAAGCTTAAAGTTAGTCCTAAAGCCAAGAGCAAAGTTCAACATCAAGCCGGAAGTCCAAATAAGCTATATAAAAACATGCATTCAAATCAAGAAAATTTTGATAAGCTTGAATTAAAATTTAAAATTCTATCCCTTCACGTGCATGCTCTATCCATTAAGAAAGATGAGAGAGAAACACAATGTGAAGTTACTTATTCAAATATGGAGGTGTGCCTATAATGATAAGATGATTGCTTATTTGATAACCTATCAAAGGCAAAAGAAGGTGAAATTAGTGCTTGTCTCTCTAATTTTGGCATGATTCTTCTATGTTATTCCTTTATTTAAATATATATAACCTATAATTAGTTTCTTTCCTAATTGATTCAATTCATTCTAATTGAATTCAAGGACTCCTATACCATATATTTCTTTGTCTTCTAAGGATTCATAAGAAAGTTCTCCTTCTTCAAGAATTTAGGCCCCTCTCCCTCGTTTTAGCCTTTCTGTCTCTCCTCTCATTCCATGTGACTCTAATTCTCTTTAATCTCTCTTCACTCGAGAGAATCTAAGATAGAAGAAAATTAGGATGGTTCCATTCAAGATGTGCAAGAAAGTTAAAATAAAGACTTAGAAGCAAAAAAGTAAGAAAGATCAAAGAAGAATCAAAGGAGAAAGAAGTTCAAAGAGTTTCAACAAAGAAGTGTACAAGAGATTTGATGAGGTGCATCTCTCATCAAGATTTTAACTACATTCAACTAAATCTCTTTTCAATGCACAACAATTCTTTTTTTATACAATATCACTAACTATTCGTTTTTCTCATTCACTTATATTGAATTAAACTTAATTAGTGTTCTTTATTGTAAATGTCCATCATAAGCGCTACTTCAAAATAATTAAATCATGTCTTCCACATCTTAAATTTATAGTTTAGGATTGCTTCATAGATTTTATTTATTGTTTGATTACTATTTTAAAGATCATTGAAAAATATTACTCTTCATCCATGAAACATACACCCCCCTCTATGTCTAACAAGTGGTCACCCTCCTTCAATCTGTAATGAACTTCAAATATTGATGTTGGGAGTAGCATCTTTGAGAAGTGCGTATACTTGACCTTAATAGTTACTTTATGAGGTGGGGGGTTAAGATGAAGGATTGAGAAAATGGAAGCATAGAATGAGAAAAGAGACAAACAAAACATATGTAGTGTGTAGAAAAGTCTTATTTTCTTCTATCTTTTATGGCTCTAGTATATTCTCTTATACTCTCAGTTCTCTCTTAGTTAGCAGAGTTCTTAAGAAGCCAAAATTTTTACACTACTAAGTTGGGTATTTATGGGGCTATATGGAGCCAGGAGACCAGAGAAGATGATGAGATCTCAGGAGCATTAAATGCTTCTTCCCATAATAATTTAAGTTGCTGCACCTCCCCATTGCTACTTGGTTAATACTTATTGTACATGAGGTAACTTCCAAGACTTTAGAACCTTGAAGTAAAAAGATCATCATCTTTTCTAGAGAAAGCCCACTAAAGAATTTACATTATTGCTACTCAAAATCAAATTCCACATCAATGCTAACATTTGATGTGTTTATATGTATTGCTACTATGTTTTGCATAAATTATTTATTTTTCTCGATATGGACAATCTGCTTTGGAAGTATAAAGAAGTTGAATGTGCAATAAAATGTTCTTCTTTCTCATATTTCATGTAGAATTAAAAATTATGCTATTTAAGTTTTGTAGAATTGAAGCAAAGTGGTAGCTTTAACTATGACTCAACCAGTGCAGATTGAAGCATAGGCTGCTTCTGCCATTCACAGAGCCTTCTCTTTTAATTTATTTGAAGGCGTTGATAGTGGCTTAAGTTAGAAAGGTATGTTTCTTTTGTTTATTGCAATAAAGAAACCTTTCCATGCTAATAATTCCACCTTTTACACTAATGAGTGGATTAGTTGTTCCAAAAGTGATCAGGAAATCCTTATTAGTGCTTACTGTTTTTTATTGTTTAAGTGAATACCAACAACAAATAAAATGTTAGAGCTCGCTGAAGATGTGATGTGAAAGTGATAATTAAATGTCCACATCATGGAAGAAATAATTTGAATTTGTTTAATGAAGAGTGGTATTGTGTTAATACTACTAAATTAGCTTGAAAGATGAAATGAATTAAAGTTTGCACAAGTGGAGTTATCACCAAATGGGTTATTGGATGGCATGCAATAGCTTTCTTTGTTCATTCCAATTATTGAAGCACTATAGCTTTCATAAAACCGAGTGCTCTTTTAAGTTACTTACTTGGCATCAAAAGATATGAAATGTCATCAGCTTTAACTTTATAAGAAGCTCACGTGAGCAATCTCATGCTACCTTAATTCATACTCTTTACTCTTTAGGCAACCAAACATATGGAGCATATATTGATTAGTGTTGGTGAGTGGGTTCATTTAATTTTCTGCATGAATGAGAAAAATTTCCTCATCACTAATGGATTTTATCCTTCGATACTTTGAATAAATTCATCAACCTGATGTGAAGCCCTTGTTTTATGGAGAAATTATTGTGTGTGGAATCTAAATGCATTCGGATTCCAATTACAGCTTGTCATGACATCAAATACACTCTGGGCCCAGTGCATTCAATGATGTGGCGCATGATGATAGGAATCCGAACCGCACACAATAATTTATCCGTTTTATGATCCTCTCCTTTAGCTCTATGCCTCTTTGTCTTGGGGCACAAAACCCAAAGCCCCTATCTAACCTTCTTCCTCACTCCTGTTAGTTTATGCCAAATTGTGTTATTTTTCTTTGGTTTCATGTTTTTAGGTTATTTTAAAATTTATTATTTCTCATTCAATAGATTGTTAAATCCTTACCCTTTTAATGGATAAGTTGTAGATTGACTCACTAGAAAATTATTGTAATAATAATAATAATTTAGGTTACTAACATATTTTCCAATTGAGAATTTTGGCCGATGGATATTTAAAAAAAAAAAAATCTTTTATGAAAATTATATATTAAAAATAGTGTTAAGTGTTACTTTGAAATAATATTACATTTGAATAATGAATAGGGATGACAAGATTTGATTTTGTTCTAAATAAGCATGATCGAAAGTTGTTTTGATATAATTTTAATAAAGAATATTACTAATATTATCATTTTGTTCGGCTCAATTTGTTGATAATAATGTGTCTATGAGAGGAGAAATTATTTTGTGCCGATGTTAAACGTAGCTTTATATTTGGAGATTAACCAGAATGAACCACTTCAGCAATACCAAGCGGTACCGAGCAGTATCGAAATTTGGTACTGACATGGCTCATTCTAGTTGGTCACCGGACAGCGTTTAACGTTCGCACATAATTTCTCTGAAGAGAGAGAGAGGGTAACTTAATTATGAGAATCCTTGCAACTACAATCTTTAAATTTAGAAAAAAAGTGCATGCATATTTTATCAAAATGAATACATAAAATATTTTAAATTGATGATAAAGAATTTCTAACAAACAAATTGTAAGATAGGGAGATATTGATGCTATATATTTTTATAACGATGAAATTGAACTTAACAAATAATTCACACAACACAAATAGAGAGCATAACATAAAAATTGATTTATTTAAGCTTACTAATTAAATCTATTATATCTCACAAGTAGTTAATAGTGGCCAAATAGTCATCAATTTGTCTTACCAAAGGCTCATTCACTAAATCTATCATATCACCAAAATAACATCCTCCACCTTCTCTGTCTTCTATCTCCTTCCTCTATAACACGCTCCAACACCTACGAGAGAGAGAGAGAGAGCTTTGGCTATAGCTATGGCTATGCTTACTTGCTTGCTTTTAATACACCTAATATCCCTCTTTAATCGCTCCAGAGGCTTAGAATTCGATTACCTCAACGTTCACGAACTCCTCTCCTCAACCCACCGCCGCCCTCCCAAGATATCCACGCACCACCTTCCGAACCCCGCCGCCGTCTGCAATCTCTCTTTGCAGCTTCACCACCGCGACTCCATCTTCCCCAACCACCTCCACAGCATTTCCGACCTCTTCCGCCGCGACTTCCAGCGTGTCGCCGCCCTCCACCGTCGCCTCGTTTCACCCCACTACCAACTTACCGACTTCACCTCCGACGTCTTCTCCGGCCTCGACCAAGGCACCGGAGAGTACCTAGTTCGTCTTGGCGTCGGCACCCCGCCGGTTGAGCAGTATCTTGTTGTTGACTCCGGCAGTGACGTCATTTGGCTTCAATGTCAACCTTGCTCGCAATGCTACACTCAATCCGACCCGGTTTTTGACCCGGCGCGGTCCACTTCCTTCTCCCCAATTCCCTACAGTTCCCCTATATGCGCTCTCCTCAGCGGCGGAGGCGGCGGTGCGGCGGACGATGGGAAGTGTCATTACCAAGTAGCGTACGGCGACGGGTCGTACACTCGCGGTACCCTGGCCCTCGAGACGTTAACATTCGAAGCCATCGCCGTCGGCGAAGTGGCTATCGGCTGCGGCCGCCAAAACGGCGGCCTTTTTGTCGGCGCGGCGGGGCTGTTGGGTCTCGGGTGGGGACCACTATCATTCGTGAGCCAGCTCGGCGGGCTCGCTGGCGGCTCCTTCGCCTACTGCCTTCCGAGCAGCGGATCCGAGGCAGGGGAAATGGTTTTTGGAAGAAGCGAGGCCGTCCAAGTTGGGGCGGTGTGGGTCCCACTTCTCCGCAACCCCCGGGCCCCGAGCTTCTACTACGTGGGCCTCACAGGTCTGGGAGTGGGCGGCGCGAGACTGACGGCGGTAGGAGAAGATGAGTTCGAGTTGACGGAGAAAGGTGGCGGCGGGACGGTGGTGGATACGGGGACGGCGGTGACGCGGCTGCCTGCAGCAGCGTATCGAGCTTTAAGAGAAGGATTTAACGCGGCTTCGAGATTGCCAGCGGCGGCGGGAGTGTCGATATTCGACACGTGCTACGCGTTGGGAGGGTACGGGAGCGTGCGGGTTCCGACAGTGAGCTTCTACTTCGTCGGAGGGACGGAACTGACTTTACCGGCGAGAAATTTGCTGATTCCGGTGGACGGCGCAGGAACTTTCTGCTTAGCATTCGCGGCGTCGTCGTCGGATCTGACGATTCTGGGGAATATACAGCAACAGGGGATTCGTATTACCGTGGATTCCGCTAATGGATTTCTGGGATTCGGCCCAAACACTTGTTAAAACATAGAAAATATTAACAAAGGGGGACCCAATGGTCTATTCTTATGCAGATTTGGGACGATATCTCTATGAATTCTGTAGCAGGTTTATCTTCTTCTGTTGTTCGCCATGGGGCTATGATGCTCTTTTTTTTTTTTTTTTTTTTTTTGCGAATCGGTTGGCCAATTTGTCATAATTTTTAACACATTCATGTTAATGATTTATAATCGAAGTTAGCTCAAGCCCACGAGAGATTATTCTATGCGATGTTTGAACGCATACGGAGACTAATCCGATGTGCCACATCATTCAAGACACTGTGCATTGGGTGACATGGCGCATCTGAATTGACCTCCGAATATGTCCGATACTGCATCTAATAATTTTTCGAGGCTACATCTATTATGCTACGAAGTGAAACTATATGGTATTCTTGTATTCATAATTTATGATCATGGCTAAATGAGTGTTATGAGCTTATTTTGACTAAATGAGTGCGACGAGCTTATTTTGATGATGGCATATAAGTAAGAATTAAGTAGGGACCATACAACATGTTTATCAATGAAATTTGACAACAAGTTGCTAAAATCTCCATGCAATGGTTTAATCATGATTCATGAGAACAATACAAAGAATCTTGTGATGAGTAATATTTACTTCAATCATGTTCAATGAATGTCGTGGATTCACAATATGAAAATGAGGGTAGATGAGATTATATATATGAAGAATATAAGTTTGGTTAATAATTGATGTTTGTTAAATACATTCCTAAGAAATTTAAAAAAAAAAAAATGTTGCGTACTAGAAAATTTATGATGATAAATAAAGTGTATTTAATACATTAGTTTTGTGCAAATATTCATCATGCGCGTCGATACAAGTTGCAAGAGACACCAAATTTTTTTTGCTTAAAAAACCCAAAAAGAAATAAATCATGATGCTTGTTCAATTGAAATAATCCACCATATAGTAAACATACAAGATTTCACTCCTCCCTATAATTAAATAAGATGAGATTACACAATTGAGAATTATTATTTTATTTTCGTTATAGATATTACAAAAGATATGATGCAAGGTGGTGATGATCACACACAATCAATTGAGTAATGACATATAACAGAGGTTGGGTGATATGATCGGATAGAGAAAATCAAATAAATGGATCATATGTTACTAGTCAAGCAACAATAATCAGATGATACGAGTCATGCGAAGGTGACGACAATTGTTGATGGTGAGCAAGGCAATAGAGCTCTTCAAATCTTACAGCTCCAGTGCCTCTCTCCAGTAGAAAAATGGTGTCTTATTTATAGTTTTTTTAATACGGTTATTTTGTTAAATATTTCTAAAATAAAAAGTACTCCATCAAATAGCCCATACTAATCCCCTTAATTACAACATCAAAATTGATTGATCTTAAACTTGTAGAATTTGTCTCATCGAGACGCTTGATTTGATTATAATTATGCAAGATTTAGAGGCTATTCATTTTTTTAATTTATATCATGATGTTTTAAAATACACTTTAAGTACTTTATTATATACCTTCTAAGACTTCACATTCTATAATTTTTTAGAATAAAAGAAACTTATGTCTTTTAAGGCTTTTAACTTGTCATGATTTTTTTAAATTAAAAAAATATGTATCTTATAAGGCTTTTAACCTTTTTAGATTTTTTTTGAAGTGCAAAAAAGTATGTACTTTATAAGGCTTTTAGTCTTCTGAGATTTTTTTAGACTCCATAAAACATGTATTTTCTAAGATTTTAGATAATTAAAGAAATGTACATTATAAAGCTTTTAACCCTTTTGAGGTTTTTGGACGAGTTGATATCATTATAGTCACTTGCTCTTATGTGATCTTTTTAGTGATGATCATATTCATTGCTAACGTCTCATCGAGGCTAGCTCAAAGGCATCTTTGTTCTTCGCTTACTATTGTGGGGCCTTTTTAATGAGGATCATGTCGACTGCTAACTTCCATCAAGATTATCTCATCGGCATACCTTCTTGAATTTTTTTTTTAATCTATAATATTACTTATAAATAAAAGATCTTTTTATCATATATGCCTTCTCCAACAAACCATCACTTAGTTGATGCTACTCCGACAATCTTATGTCATGATGCCATTTTCTCTAATGAGCTATCGACTCATGCTCGAGCTTAACAGTTATTTTAGCAAGCTAAGCTCGAGCTCAATACACAAGCTTGACTTGATCTAGAGCTCGAGTCGGGCCTACCCTTGATTGGATGTTTTGGGCGTGCATTAGGCGCATGCATCGAATCAACCTGTTTACGTTCTTAAATATATCATATATTTTTTTTGACATTATAAAATTAACTGCTATCCTTTTAAAATGAATTATTAAAAAGTATGACCAAATCATTAATAATTTAATATTAAAAAAAAACTATAACAATTTTTTTATATTTAAAAAAAATGAATGATATTATTACAAATAAATGTCTTTACTTGTTTATTTAATCAATAAATAAAAATTAATTGTTACATTACTTAAGCATACAATAGCCTTAGAAAATTAATTAAAAAAATAATAATACTACGGCGGCTTTAATCGAGTAGTAGTCTCCTTCGTCGGTCATCTTCCTCTTCTTTTCAGTACAGCGATCAAAACCCTAACTGCTGATACTGTTGAAGTTGTCCAAGTCCGGATGCATAAAATATCAATTCCATACCGCACAAAGTAGTGACAAAGTGGACGGCATATGGGTTTGAATATTCGGCAAGCTTTCGTTGTTCTCTTGCTTTGCCTCTTCCTCTCCACCGGCAAATCGGCTCGTCAACAGTTCCGGCGAGATCCTGGTCATCCGCACTGGCACCACAGCGCCTTCCACGATGTGAAGGAGAGCGTCCGATCTGATATCCGCCGAATGCTTCACACTCGCGCAGAGGTGTGTTAACTCCTCTGAATTCGGCTGTCGGTTTTTTTTATCGATTCTCAAACTGATTAAAGCCTCCAGTGTTAAAATCGATAGTTTACGATGAAATTTTAATGAGTTTCTATCAAAAACAATGAATCATACAGTCTTCTATTGTTTAGTTCTTTGTCCCTGGTTCTTGGAAGGGATTTTACTTTGGTTTTCTGCATTTGGAGAGGGAGAAAACGAACATAAATGTCATAATCGTGTTAATTGTATCGGAAGAGAGGAAATTCCCGAGTTCATAAACGAGTGCTATACGTTTTTTCGTTCGTTTATCAGAATAAGAACAAGAATTTCATACCACAGTATTACTTTAACCTTGTAGCTATAGTTATGAACAAAAGCACCAAATTTCTAACTGTAGTATTACTAAAAATACCCATCATGGCCATCGAGTGTGTGTTTTCATTATGAATGTTAGTAGAAATGACTAAATTTATAATATAGTGAAGATTTATTAGTAATTTTGCTGCATGGCATAACTGATCTAAAAATTTTTCTACACTGACCTAAGGATTCTAATTAAAGAAAAGGATCACAAGGTTCCAACATATGATTTTTCTAAACATATGTTTCATATGATTTTTCTATTCACAAAATAATGTTTCTTGAGAAGTTGTCGGATTTCCATGAGTTGGAATATCGTGCAGGTCCCATTTAAGGTTCCTCTTGAGGTTAATGCTGTTCTTGTTGGTTTCAGATGATTGTTGTGCGCACAAATATTAGTCTTTGAGAAGTTATTGGATCTAATTGTGTTGGAATATCTTGCAGGTCCCATTTCAGGTCCCTCTTGAGGTTAATGTTGTCCTTGTTGGTTTTGATGGTGATGGAGGATATAGGTACTCATTGGATGCAAAGAAGCTGGAGGATTTCTTGAAAATCAGCTTCCCAACACATCGGCCCTCTTGCTTTGAAACAGGAGAACCTATTGATATTGAGCATCATATCGTATATAACGCAATTCCTGTAAGTTCCCTCTTCATAAAAATATTTTAATAACATGCCTTATTACTGTTATTCAGATATGAAATATGTCATTGTTGTAGATTGCTCAATGTACACTCTCTTGGTTTAATTAGAGTTTCTTTAGAAGATCAAGCATTTAGACTATCTTGCAAAGCTTGTGTTACATCTTGGTTTGCATATCCTATTTAATTTTGTGCATGAAAACTTCAATAGTTATCTTCTTGAACAACATAATAATCTCAAAATAATGTGTTATCAGGTACCTTCTTGGACACTTTAAATTTTCATCTCCTTTGATTTCTTTGGATGAGAACAATACTAAACATTATGTTGTCTAGTAAGACTTTCGTATGCTTGTTTGTTGCGTGTTTTTTTCATGAAAAAAAAGGGAGATAAGACCGTTGAATGTTGTTTTAGCACCAAGTATGATTTAGAGTGGTCCATGATATTGTTTACCCAGTATGATACTGTAGTGATTCATGATACATATTTTTTTGCTGGATTGATGAACAACTAACAGTATGTCAATAAAAGAATTAGAAAATATGGTAACAAACATGTAGATGAAAATTTTGATAAAACTAAATAGGTTATACTAAAAATGTAATAATATAAATAAACCGCGCACTTGAACAAGGAGATTCTATCTCTCGGAATTATAACATATCTCAGACCTAATCAAAATTAAAAATCCTGAGTAGGTGAAAAATAATAGTTAAAAAAAAAAGATGAAAAATAATATAGTTTTCACATCCAAAATATTAGTTTTAATTATAATAAAAATATCTGACATTACTCCTCTGAAAGTGCTGGATGAAAAACAATAGTTTTCACATCCAGAATATTGTAGGCGTAAAATGTTTGTCGTGAGATCATCAATCAATCAAATTGCAGAAATTCATGGTTCTTCAAACAACACCACCTTTTGAATAATTCTCTAAACTTATCAAAGTACTGAGTCACACATATAGTTGGCCTAAGGTTTAAAGTTGTTTAATTGATCGCCCATAGTGTGATGGTGATAAATATATTTGTTTGTCTTACGTTTAAATTTTGTTTGAACTTTTAGATATAAAATTAACATCATTTAAACGTTTTGCCCAAATAATTGAGCATAACTTACTAATTTAGACAATTGCAATATGCAACTTTCATTAGTTATGCGGTGCTTTGACAAACATTGTATAAATCTGCTGAACAATCTATCAAAATAGTAGAATTTTATTGTTCGTTAAATGTAGTAACATGAGTTATATCAATATTGCTATCATAGTTTGAACCATTGTAACATTTATATTTAATTCTATTCAATATTTAGTTAATTTTTTACATCTATTAATATTTTAAATGAAATATTAAGAGTATCATTCCTTTAATTTGATGTATCTTTGGTCATAACGATGTTATGTTTTTGTTTTAATGAAAATGATTTGTAGATATCATATTGGATGATTAATCACACTTCTTATGCATAGACAATTTTATGATCAAGTTACAATGTTGACAATAGAATGTATTTGCATACATAATTCAGGTTTTATGAAGTACCAATTAATTCATGCAATTTAAAATCATGACAAAGTAAATGAAATCCTAGCTGTCATGCAGTTGGTAGCATATTTAAATCATATTAAAATATAAGAGACTCGGCATGCAATATGATTCAAATTATTTTAGTGAAGCTTCCTAGAACTAGTCCTATGCAGATTTCATATTTGCCAATTGATAGAAAAAATTAAACCACAATTTAAATTTGAAATCAAATACCTTAATTGCATGAATTACAATAAAACCTTGACTTGCAATTGATGACATTGATGATGACCCGTGAGCAAAAACGAAGGCTAAAAAATGGATTGACCAGCTTGTCGATGAAAGTGGCTGACTAGTTTAGATGGACATCATGTTGTTCATCAAAATTTCCTCTTCTTTTCCATTATATATATATATTTTACTATTTTATAATAACATGGGGTCCACATTGGCTAGAGCGGGAATTTTTATTGTTTTTGTGTATAAGATGGGACTGGTTAGGATAAGTTAGGATTTAATAAGGTTTTTTGATGACTTTTAGTATTTCGTTAGATTTTAACTGGATAAAAGAAGTTTAATTGGTTTTTCTTAGGTGGAAAAGGTTTTTTTGAGTACGATAGCAAAGCAAGATAAATTTGGATTTAAACTTTCAACCATTCATGAAGTTGAAAGAATGTGATCATTACTGATAAGATAAGTTACTGACTGAGGCCGAGAGTTCTTTTTTTATTAGATAAAGAAAGAATAGGAAGTTGAATTTTTTCGGTGAAGATGGCATGGCAAATGAAAACCCTAAAAGAAGGAAGACAACATGAAGATTTAATAACTTAAAAAAAAATGAATAAGGATTTTATACCTTTGGTTACTTCAAAGTTGATCAGTTGATGTAGTAGCTTTGATATTGATTCCAATTTAATTCATGATGATCATTAAAATATTAGAAAAGAAATAATGAAGAAAAAAATAGTGGTTAAAACTAAATATGAAAAAAATTAAGAGAAGTCACTAGATTAAGTAAGCCTCACACTTGAACAATTAGATCGCCTCTCATAGAAAAATGTAAGGCCTTAAGGCTAGAAAAAATTCTATCAAGATATATTATTACATTTTATATTAGAATGAAGCTTATCCTGCCACACATATTCTTAATTTCATGCGTCACGGATTATCCACTTTGTTTTCTCTTGGCTCAATTTTTTATAAATCACTTCAAGTCATTGCTGCTACTATTAAGCTTAACAGCCCGTTGGTAGCTAAGGTCCTGGTTAAAATGGACATTACTATCCATTTGGAGAGTTGTAATTGGTAGGAGGTAGAATTTGAAAGCATTGTCCTTGTATTTTTATTTTTTTAAATTTTGGATGCTTCAAAGCACACTCAGAATTGTGGGAAATCTCCTGGTAATTAGAATGGAGGGGAGCATTCTATTGATAAAAATCAACCAGCTGACATCATGGTTGCAGATATGACTACTGAATTTAGTTTGTACACAATTTTTAATTAGCTTTAGACCTTGTCTTGAATTCAAATCCTTCCCTGGATTCAAAACCATTCCTGGATGTTAACCCAATGGTGGTGATCAGTCCCTCACTTGTACACAAAACCAAGGATCTAATTCCATCATAGGTATTTGTTTTGAGGATCGTTTTACAGTTGGTGATATTATTGATCTCAATTCGTTGACTCTAATGTCAGCATTTCAAGTACAGAAGAACTGATGAACTACTAGACAAATGTTTCAAATTCTCTATGCTTGGAGGGACAAAATAGAAAAAATATATCAACTCTTTTTAAGATTTACCGGGCTTCAAGTAAAATGTTTCAAATCAAGCAAATGCTTCATGATTCAATCCTATCTAGTTAACTTGCTCGTGTATTTAGTTTTCGAACTTTTTTAATGAAGCAATATTCTACGATTCCTTTTTTTGTACATTTTTCATTGATTGATTATAATTTTTTTGAGGGTTAAATAAAAATACGAATTCATTGGGAGAGAATAAGCAAAATAAGAATTTCAATGCTACTTGCATTCTATCATCTTCTGTTATTGGCTCGTTGCTAGATCACCAATCACAAAATCAGTCCAATGCCATGTTTGTTTTCTTTGCTTGCTGTTGTTAGTCCACCGTAATTCACCTTCCTCAAGTACTGCAAAAAGTATACAAAGTGGTCGAGAAGAGAACTTTGGAAGTAAAAAAAATCTTTTATTCATAAACATATATGGCATTCCTTATCAGGAAGCTCTTTTAAACATAAATATATGGAATTTCTTTTAGGCGAAAAATTCAAATTTTAAATAGAATAAAAAATTTGTGATATTAAGGGCTGGATTCATGGTTCTTTTGGTGAAATTACAAGCTCCTTTTATACAGTAGTATATAGATGAAACATGAAAAATTCCTGAGTTTTGTGCTCCATATCTAAACACGTATGCTCTGCCTCATCATAGGAAAATGCCTTGCCTTGCATGACCTTTTAAAATATTGGTTGGGTGCTTACTAACTAAATGCTGATCAAAATAATATCCGTTGAGATTGTAGCTTGTGTATTGTTTTGCCAACTTTTACTCGAACGTACCATTTTTTCCACAATTGCTTCTTTTCCTTTTTTTTTTTCTTTCATTTATTTCAAGTCCAGTTACTTTAATTATGTTTTGAACGTTCATAAACATCCCATGTATTTTTGCTTTGTTGTGGAAACACATTTTCCTTCTTCAACTGCTTCGTGAGCACTTTTTAATAATATATATGCTTTTGTTTATTAATGTTTCCCGTTTTATGACGTGTTATTGAGAATGTGATATGGCAAAATCAGATGGTTTGAACTTAACATATATCAGCCCTGAGTTATTAAGTATACTATTACTATCATGATTTCTATTTCCATGCAATCTCTCATTTCATTCTTAATTTTCTGCAACTGCAGGTTGGTCAGCCAGAATTAATATCCCTTGAAAAGGCTCTAAAGGATGCAATGATCGCTGCCGGAACTGCTAGAGAGGTTACTATATTTGTTAGCTAACCTTACTTGTTTTTAAGAGGTGGAAAGGCAGCGATTCTATACTATTGAGTTATCTGAAAATTTGATTATTTATTTTTTTCAGAATGAATATGGAAGGGAGCTTACTCTCTTTGAGATAGAAGCCACTATGGTGGAGCCTATGTTCCAAAAATTATACTCTTTTTTATTTGACGAGGAAAGTGGCAGATCCGCTGAAGAAATGGACAGGCCTGTACCTACCGCAGTATTTCTCACCAACTTTGACAAGGTACTAAGTAAGGATATTTTCATCTTAGAACTATGTGTTTTTTGGTGTTATTTTACCAGGTAATAAATTTTGTGCGTCATTAGTATGTAGTTTATTGAGGACTGTCTGTTATTTTTTGTTGTATCTCCTTAATTCTTATTGTGCAATTCTGATATCTACATTTTCCAGGTTAGAATGGATCCTAGGAACAAAGAAACTGATCTTGACAGTCTAATGTACAGTAGAATAGAGAAGCTTACTGATGAACAGTTGAAAAGTCAAGAAGGAGATTATATTTACCGTTATAGGTACAATGGAGGAGGGGCTTCTCAAGTTTGGTTGAGCTCTGGACGGTAAGTAATCTCTGGCCTTTTTGCTTGGTTTATTGTATCATTGTTCTTGCTTTTTAACATAATAAGATAACAAGATAAAATACTACCCCACAAGTTAGTATAAAGATTATCAAAGGACTTTGAAACTTCATATAGTTCTATTCACGTCAACATGTTTTGTATAAATCTAAGTTTCTATTTTTCCTTCACCGGTGAAAGGCCAAAGTGTAACTCACAATTTATTTATTTCTATTGTTTTACATGGTTCAATTATTGGCATGTCTTCACGCACTTCAAACAATCTCTTTATTTTTATTTATTTCTTAGTTCCGGCTGAACCATTTCTCTCTTTTATGTCACAATCTTCCAGGAAACTTATGTGTTATCTACTTATTGCAGATATGCTGTGATTGATTTATCAGCTGGCCCTTGTACATATGGGAAAATAGAAACTGAAGAAGGCAGTGTCAGTTATAGAACATTGCCTCGGTTGTCCAGTATCATCTTTCCAAGGGGTTCAACTGCTGTTAATGTTGGTTACACTAATGACCTGCTGATGGGACACCTCGGAGCTCTGGTTTCTACTACTATTGAGCATGTTATAGCGCCAGACATCAGGTTTTCATTTCATATATTCTTAAATGGCTGGCTTATGTTTGTTTAACATGCACTGTTGTAGAATATTGACAAAAACCCTTTTATTTTCTCACCATTTGAATAGAATGTGGACTAAACGGTGCAACTTGCTAGTAGAACGTTTCACGTAGTATAAATAAATGAGCCTGGAAGTGGAAAAGCTGAAATAGGCTGACATTTCACCATATCTCTTTGACTTTTTCTTTGTATTGCTTTATCTTAACATTCCCCAAATACTTGCATTGTTAAACTTGAGAACTCTGAATCAAATTGATTTAGTTTCCAGTGGTTGATCTTGTTAGATTTGGATATTTTGGCTTTTAAAAATAATGACATCCCAAAATATATGTATCTGATGTAGCATTAATTTCTCTATTCGCAATACATTGATTTTTGTGTTCCTATTATATTTATGCAGAAACCCCCAGAAGTACTCCTTAATGCAAATGGACCTCAGTTTTTATTGTTAACTCATCACTTCATTTGCATTGCACAATATTTGTTCCGGTTGTCATATTGATCAGTTTCTTGAATGATTTTTTCTGCGTACTGATTAGTTTTATTTGTCCTACAACCATCAGATATGAAACTGTGGATTTAACCACAAGGCTGCTGATACCTATAATAATATTGCAAAATCATAATAGATACAACATTCTTCAACCTGGTCACAATTACAGCATAGATATTCAAGCAATTGAGCAAGAGGTTTGGCATATATCCTTTCAATGTGATGGTTATGATTATTTTGGTAATGCATATGGATATATAAATTGTCTCCTTGTTTAAAGCTGCCACCTTAATTGTACAACTTCCTGTATCTTTTAGTTCAATATTTAGTGGATTAAAAATTACTAATCGAGTGAATTGATAGCTAAAGGATAAGTAAACGAGTAACTGGATGCTTTAGTCTTGCAAAATGGTTAAATCTGTGTTGTATTCAGCCTACTGTTAGCTTTTGTGTCTGCCAATAATGATGTTCAATTATAATGCATTATCTTACACTGTTGATTGAATTCGGAGGCAGCTTAATTTGATTTCTTATCATCATCATCATCTCATCATACCTTTATTAGCCTTATCCCAATATTGGATATGAGGAAGTCACACCTGTTGATAAGAAACCACAGGTTGATATTTCTGCGGTTGAGATGCTGCAGGAAACAATACAATACACTTTGGACATGTGTTTCATCATTGTCATTTATAAAAATAAATGATACATTGATACCTGCTTAATCAAATTTAATTAGGGACTCCAGCAGACTCAGCTGACCGAAAATGCCAAAAATTGATATACACGGGCACTTCATAATTTCAATTATTATTCTAGATTTTGAGATCCTCGCCATTTTTACCTGACTTGAAAAAAAAGACTTTGATTAATTGTTTATATGGCATTCTTCCAACAAATCTAGGCATAATTATGGTTCTTGTAATGAGATTCATGATTCTTCACATGGAGATTTGCCTTTTCATCTTATAAGATGTTTTTGACATGCATCATTAGTAGTAGACACCCTCATTATGAAAATACTTGTAGGAAAATAGGCTAGTATTTTGATATGTCAAGGGTGCTGTTTTAACTTTCAAGACTTATCAAATTTCTATAGAAAAAGGAATATAGATGATGAGGTGAATTTGAAGTTGGAAGGAGGGAATGGAAGAAGAGAAGAATGTAGTTGATTGTTGTGGGCTCTGAAAATTCACACGCCAATTTTGTTGAGAGTTTGGTGTTTCGAGTTAAATTTTTGAAAGACAAATTGGATTGTAAATAAAATATTACCTAAATATTTCACTCTGAGTTTGCCATGATGACTTGAAGATCTATTTTCAGTTTTTCTATAGGCACAAGCCCCTTGGTTAATTATTCCTCATGATGACATGAAATAACTTTTGATTAAGTCTGGTCATTAGAAGCTAGACATTTAGCATATAATAGCAATTATTTGGCTTAGGATTGAGTAAATTTACCTGTTGACAATTATTTTATGTCGACCCGATCCCGATCGAGCTGATTCGAGCCCGACTGGTCTCGATCGCACTCAGTCAATTAGATCGAATGTCGTCGAAGCAAAATTGACCCAAATCAAACCTTGATTTGATTAAATTAAATTTGATTTAATTAAATTAAAATCAAATCGATCCAAATCAAACCCGATTGAGCCTCGTCGAACCAAATTCGACGCAATTCGGCGCCTATTCGATATTAATTTCACAAAATTAACTTGATCGGACCCAAACCGACCCAAATCGGTTTGAGTCTGTTAAGAACGAGGATTTGAGAGGGAAAAGCTTAAATTTTATTAAGCAATCTACTCCCTATTTATAGATCTATACAAGGTATATCAATAAGGAAACAAATAACTCTTATAATAATATGAATATAATTATTCCTAAATCAATGGGAGGAATTAATGCAATCCTTGTAGTCCTCCCACGGATTACTGTTCACAGCCGTGGATGTCTTCGGGATCGTAAGGTTGAGATTTAACAGAGTCGAATCCAATTTGGGCTCAATTTCAACTCTAATTTATTGATTTGGGCTAAATTGACTCTCCAAATCAAGTTTCTCAATCAAAGGCTGAGATTTCATCTCAAATCCTTCCAAATTTCACATCAAATCCTTCATTTCGCGCGAGTGAGAACCGGATTGGAGCATTTGGGTGGTGGACCTGCTGGTCTCCTAGTCTCCAAGAGAGAAAGGAAGAGGGAAAGGTCGGCTCTCCTGTTTTGTCTGCCCGTCCCAGACAGAGCGGGAGGAGGAGAAAGGCGGAGCCTGCTTGTGTTCGTCCCTGACAAAGCGTGAGAGGGAGGGAGATCCGCTCTGTTGCATCCGACGATTGTTATTAGAATTAATTTCGACTAACTTGATTTGTTGTGCTTTGTGGCATATATATTCGTAGGTCAACAATTGCTCATGGTATAAAATCATATATGATAGTTCGGTTTCATTGAAGAATGTTTCAGAAAATTTTCAATCTTTAAATTCAAAATTTATAAATAAAAATGCTTGGATAATATAAATTCAAGTTACCACCTCAATAAGATTCCTACAACCTGATGAGCATGAAGTTGTCTAACTAGTATAGAGGTCCAGTTTCTTAAACAATTTTGCTATATCATTCTGTTTGAGATACCAGTTTGATGAATATGTAGACTTTAGCTCGTCAATAGCTATGATCCTTTAATATTTATAGGTCACATGTTAAGAGCTAGGATAATTGATTAACTATGTGCACCCATTTTCAAGAAGAAAAATCACATGGCTCTAAGTAGGATACAGCCCTTGCCTCGCTACCAAGATAATTTTTAAAATTTTGATTTCTCAGCTGTTTCTAAAATAATAAATATCCATTCTTTTCTCACATTCACGAGTAATTTTGCTTATTTGATGCAGCATTGCTTTCATCAATTTTGTGCATCAAAATTTGTGCTTAAAGCATTTTACTTCTAGTACTCAAACGAACCACGCTGTGTTCCAACTATCTCCACTTATGTTGCTTCTGTCAAAATTACTTCTTGCTGCGTAATCTCTAAGTGCACATTTTTCAACCAGCCATGCTATATCACAAATTTCTTACATTTCAGTATTTTAGAATATCGTGTAAGAAAACATTTAGTACTTTTGGCTTACATGTTTTCCAACATTGTACTTTCTAAGAGTTAAAACAAAAGTTGTGGGACTCCATTTTGAATAAGAGAAATATCATTATGAAATATCACCTAAGTATTCCTTTGGAGCTTTCAATTTTGGATATGGTATATGTGCTAGCTCTCTTTCTTGCTTCTCTAGCTGAATGCTTATTTTTTCTTAGGTAAAGAAGATGGTACATACTGGACAGGAAGTAATCCTTTTCAGTGGATCATATGCATTGCATCGCCATGAAAAATTAGCAATTGCAGTTTCAAAAGCTATGCGAGGTCATTCTCTTCAAGAGACAAAGAAAGATGGACGGTTTCACGTTCATACTAGAACATATTTAGATGGAGCAATCCTTAAAGAGGTTAGCAATTATCTGAAACCAAGTTGCTTTGTTATCTCAAAGTTTTCATGCTAGATGGTTCGTTATTATTAACAAAGCTATGTCAATCAGCTTGAACATCCGTTGGTTACTATATTGTTCAACATCGGTAATCTTATTCTTTTGTCACTCACCATGAAAAACTATTTGAAGCATAGAATATAAATTTCTTATTGCACTTTACAAACAGTTCATCTTTTGTGATAGGAATAACATGCAAATTGGCAAATCAAACACGTCATTCTTCCTATGCTACTTGCAACCGCATGTAGCATTAGACAATTACTTCAGAAAAGCTTTTTATTTTTTGTTATTGGATTATGATTATATTATTGTACCTCTAGACAGTTTATTTGTCCGCCCTATTATAAGGATTCTCTAGTGAATAAGACTCACAAAAATCATTTTCCCCCAACATGCCATGAAAGCATGGTTAGCGTAACCTTAATTGCACACCCTTTTCTTCCTTGAATCTCTCCTGAGCCCTTGTTGCAACAAACATGTAAGTCCATTACATCATGCCAATCCCGTTGTAGGCATGTGAGTTCATTGCTTCCATGCAAATCACTGACTCCCTAGCTTGCAGGCAACCTATTGCTCTATTTGTTCACTCGTTTGTAACTACATTCACACACAATCTTGTCTGTATGTGTCCATGTTCAAGCTTGCTTGTTTGATCTTGCTGACGTGTACTTGAATTTATGCTTTGCTTGTGTACCCACTTAATTGCTCGTTTCTCCTGCACATGTTACATTCCTACTTATGGCATGACACTTCTCTGTATTATCCATTCTCAAATAATTTACTCATCATTCTCCGACTCTCTTCTCAATAATGTATCTAAATTTCCTTTCAAGGACTTAGAGATCCTTTTCCACCGTTGGCATCAAAATCAAATTTATGGTATCAACTACTCTTGTTGGCCTAGGACCTTTCAACTCATTGTTTGTTCTCACATCAAACTTCAACAGCTGGTTGCTTCTCCTTCCGTTTGATTTCCAAGTTCTCAAAATGCTAGGTGTTTGAATACACTGTTTTTACCTAGTTACTTAATAGTGTTGAACCTTATAGCCTAAATTTTCATATTTCAAAACATGGGTAAGATGTTGGACTTCCTACTTTATGCATATTTTTTTAGGAAAGTAATATCTAGTGTATTAGCCTCTTTTCTAAGGTTTTTTCTTTTCTCAAACGTCATGATTTGCCTATCTAGGAATGCTATAGTACCATGCTGTCACAACAAAGGTGCATAGCTTTGAAACAAATTAGGTGTGGTCATTTAAGGAGAATTCTCCCAAGCCATCAAATGGTGCATGGCTTTGTCCGATGGCCATCGGTCTAGGCAAGGTTTTGCTGTTGGGATCGGTGATCACCACAAATCTCTTCGAAGTGTTATGAGACTACTCCTTTTTGAGGATATGTGTCAAAGGCCTTCCTTGACTGATTCAATGGTGTCTTGCTTCTCCTTTTGTTTGTTTTTGCTATCGAAGTTGATTGATTTGCCTCTTAATTTCGTGTAAGTGAGCAAGCAATGTGACTTCTGGCCTAGAAATAATGCCTCAAAGGCTTTTTTTTCTTTTGTCTCTCTTGGTTCTTGTTCTTCCTATCAATACATCTAGTTTTTCCTTCTTTTAACCTGATTGATGGGTCAATCCCATTTTATTGGGTGAATCCTCATAGAGTATTCTTTGTTGTTGTGAATGAACTCCTTCCATTACAAGAGGCAATGCACACCCATTACTTGGCTTTTTTTTTTCATTTTCTATTGGAAGAAGATTGTCTTTTAGGAGGATGACTCTTGTATGTTTGATTATCTTTGAAAATAGGATGACCGAGTATATTTAAGAGTGTAGATTAAGATTAAGGAACTATAGGTGGTGAGATGTCAGAGGTACAATGTGGGAGAAAGAGGAGGGACTAGATTTAGATGGACTATCTTGCAAATTCAATGTACTATATCATTTGAAAAACTTAGTATAAACTGATCCTCTTTTCTCTGCATTTTTCAGTATGTCTGTTTCTCCTCTGCTCATGTGTTTGTGCACGACATTTATAGATGTTCCCAAGATGTATCGCACAAAGTGGATGTTGTTATAGGTTTTTTTAGTGGAGCCTCAGTAAAATACTATGAGAGGATTAAATACACACACACATATATATATATATATTATTATAGAATTTGAAATAAAAGTTAATAATTATTTAATTTTATTTAATTACATTTAAATTATTTATTTATTTTAATTAAACTACTTCCTTGGTATACCAAATGAGGTAGAAATTGAATGCTTCCCAAAAAACACCTGATTATAATAGAAAATATATTATATTTGTTAAAATTTGTGTATTTTTTAATAATTCATATATGCGCACATATTATAGAAGTATAATTTGTGAATTCACTGACTCATCTAAAATTACAAGTGTCATTAAAATGGGGATTTTTTTTTTGTAGTGAGGATCCAAACTTACATTTATCGTACTCTTTTTGAAAATGTTTAATAATTTTGTTGAATATTTTTAACCATTATTATTACATTCTTACTCTTTATTAAGCCATTAGTTTATTAACTTCTTACAATATATGATAACTTTCTAACTTCCACTTGTTTGTGTGTAGATCTTAAATATGTAGTAGTTTACTCATAGAACTTTGATGACACATATCTACATCTTAAAATGTGTGAGATTTGGCTGAACACCTACTTTTTGCATGTATTTTCACTAGAAGATTCATGATGAAGTCTCTTGTAACTATTTTGTCTGCTAATAATCTTGATCTTTTTCCATTCCATTAACATCCAAATGTTAAATATATGTTAAGGTTGATGGAGTTGCGGACATGCCACAACATGCATTTTTTTAGTGCTACAGACTGTCCTATTAAAATCTTCTTTGGATATGGTTTGTTGCAGGAGATGGAGCGTTCTTCTGATATGCTTGCTGCTGGTTTACTAGAGGTTGCTGATCCTTCACTCTCGAGCAAATTTTTCCATCGTCAGGTTTGTGATCGTTAGAGGATGATACACTTAGTCCAGTCATATGATTTTGTTTTGGGACAAGGATCAAAATAGTCCCTTAACTCTTTATAAAAGATTAAAATGATCCCCAATTATATTAAATCACCATTTAGGTCCCTCAAGTTCTTAAAAAGGAACCAAAATAGTCCCACCATGGGACTATTTTGGTTCCTCTTTAAAGAATTGATGGACCAAAATGATTGTTTAATATAGTTGGGGATCATTTTGGTCTTTTATGAAAAGTCAAGGGATTATTTTTATCCTTTTCTCATTTTGTTTCATTACATTCTATATTTAGGATTTACCAGCACACCGGTTCTCTTTATGCATGTACTTATGCATTATTTCAGAATAACATATTATTACTTAATTTACAGCATTGGATGGATGAATCTGATAGCATACAAGATGCCATTATTAAGCACAAGCCGCTGTGGGAGTCATACTATCCTCAGCGTAGCAGATATAAAAAGAAACAAGGGAATGTGTACAAGACTTATGGGACCAGAGTAGTCCCAGTGTAAGCATCTAAGCCTATCTTATTATCTCTGACTGAGAGTTGTACATAAAAAATAAATCTTCTTTCCGAAGCCAACGAAAAGTGACTCTCTTTCGAGCAGCAAAGTATGTCTTGTTGTCCTTTTTGCATTTCTTATTGTCACCTCTTCTCAAGATTATTTGGCAGGTTTATACTGCTCTGCAAGCATGCGAAGGCAGCCTATAGCTAAGAAGAATGCACATTATATTTCCGTTTACAACATGGACATTTGAAAATTAGATTTCTTATTTCTCTATACTTAATGCGTATTACCAACATATACAGGTGCATGCATCTTTATATGGGTGCATGCAACACAGATGTATTCATCAATTACGCATTGATCTGTTATCTGTTAACTGCTAACATGCACATTTATATGCATTAAATGCTAATCAAATTGCTTAGTTTGCAAGATATTCAAAATGGAAAACTATACTCAATCTTTGTTTATCTCGCAATTTGATCAGATTATAGTAGACCTATTTTAACTATATCTAATATGTAAATCCATTGTGGCCAATTTGAATGCTGAAGATATGAGAATAGTAAGATGGATATGTGGCATAGGAAGTAGAGGGATCTTAGGTGTAGCTTCTATTTAAGATAAGGTAATGGAGAAATAAGTTAGGTGGGTTGGACAGCAACAAAAATGATAGGAAAAGACATAATTATATGGATATATAAAATTAGTGGTAAAAGATTATGAAAGGGTAGCGTTACGACCTGCAATTACCCATCTTTGTTGAGTATAAGACATGGCAAAGGCGAGTATGATAAGTCGATTGATTCTACTAGGAACATTCATTGTGGAATTCCAACTATTTGAAAAGAGTGGGCGATAAACTCAACCAAACCAACTCAAACCAAAAGGTGCAATATAATCCAAACTCATGGAGATCCATTTCAATTGTATTGAATCATCCCAAATATTTCATTCAATCAACTACAAAGTTTCTAGTAAACATCAAAGTTCATGTAGACAATATCAAGTTTCCATTATATACATTATGATAGGAAATACTTGATTTCAAGTATTTCCTAACCACTTTCGACGCAAGAAACAATGAGAACCAGCTGTCCACAGCAGGAATTGGCACAAAATAGTGGAAAAAAATAGCAAATCTGAGAGAAATAGTGGAGAAAAAGCTTGTACTTTACTAGTAGATGCAAGGAAAGTAGCAAAGATACAAGGATTCTCTATTCGAGAGGAGGATCGCACTCTCCCAATCTCTAGAATTCGATCTAGAGCCTAGCCACCAAAGAAGAACAAGAAAAACTTCAAGCAAATTCAACATAACCCTAATCTATCCTTTTCTCCCTACTTAAAGCATACAATTCAAAAATAACATAAAAGGACCTAATTGCCCTTGCTTCCACTCCTTTTGGCTCCAAGATTCAATTTGAAAAGCAAGTGGACCCCACCCGATTGCCTCCTTGCGGTTTCCAGCTCCCTGTTGTTTCCGTCCGTCTTCTTCTCCCGTAAACGAACAGAGCCGGCCCAATGGATTGGGCCGGCTGGACCGGTCTTCTCTGGACCGGTCTAACATTACCGCCCTCCCAAAGAACCATCTTGTCCTCAAGGTGGAAGTCAGGAAACTGTTGCTTCATCCGCTCGTATGGCTCCCACGTGGCTTCGTAGTCAGGGAGGTTCTTCCATTTGATCAGGACTTCTGTGGCTCCATCTGCTTTTTGACGAACCTCCATGAGCTCCAAAGGTTCCAATATCATTTCCATTTCATCTGTTAATGTCCCTGGTAACTCAGAACTAGTAGTATAATTTCCAATGGCTCTCCTTAGCTGGGATACATGGAAAACTGGATGGATTGTCGCTGTCGGTAGTAACTTCAGACGATATGCCACGGCTCCAATTTTCTCCAGTACTTCATAAGGACCGAAATACCTTGGAGCAAGCTTCTCATTCCTCCGGTTGGCGATCGTTTTCTGTCGATATGGGCGGAGTTTCAAAAGTACCTTCTCGCCCACCTCAAACTGAATATCCTTATTCCTTCCGATGCCCATCAGCTTGTTTCTTCATAATCTGTTGAGCCCTCAACTGTGCTCTTTTAACTCTTCCAGTGTCTTATCCCTCTCCTCCAAGTACTCCTCTACTGAAGACACGGGTTGCTGCTACTCCCAAAATGCACCAAGTGGGGCGGATCCCTTCTGTACAACACCTTAAATGGGGTCATCTGAGAGGCTGAATGAAAAGAGGTGTTGTACCAGTACTTGGCCCATGATAGCCATTTAGCCCATAGCTTGGGTGTTTCTGATGCGAAGCCATCTCAAGATAAGTTTCCAAGCTCCTATTGACTACTTCTGTTTGCCATCCGTCTGTCGGTGGTAAGCCGTACTTCTCTTTAGCACCGTCCCCTACAGTCTGAACAATTCTTTCCAGAAATGGCTGAGGAACACTTTATCTCTGTCTGATACTATCGCCTCTGGCACCCCGTGTAGTCTGATTATCCCTGATGAAACTGACGCTACTGTCACCGCGGTGTATGGATGGCGTAGAGGAATAAAGTGAGCATATTTGCTCAGTCTATCCACTACCACCAAATCATAGTGAATCCTTCAGATCGGGGTAGCCCATCAATGAAGTCCATAGATATCTCCTCCCAGACTCGTCCTAGTAATGCAATGGCTGCAGTAACCCCCTGGTGACATCACGAGATACTTATTTCTTTGGCAAATCTCGCACCTGGATACCATCTCTTCCCATCTCTATGCATACCTTTCCATTACAACTCTGCCGCTAGCCTCCTATAAGTCTTTAGCACTCATGAATGACCTCCCACTGCAGTTCCATGGAACTCCCGGAGCAATTGTGGATGTGTACTGACGTTTTGGGAACACAATCCTCCCCTGATACAACAATCTCTCCTCCAACGAGTACCCTGGATGGCCTCCCTCTTCCTTCACTAAGTCAGCTCTGATCTTGCTTAATTCCTCGTCTTTAGCACTCTCCTCCTTTATGGCTTCCCAATTTAGCATCATTGGGATTGACACAGCCACTGTCTGCAGCTAACCCATGCACCTGGACAAGCATCTGCTGCCTTATTTTCTACCCATGGCCTGTATTAATCTCAAAAATCATACTCGAGCAGTTTGGATAACCACCTCTGATGCTCCTCGTTACCATGCGCTGCTCCAGCAAATATTTCAGCTCGTTGGTGTGTCTGGACAATGAAATGTCTTCCAAGTAAGTAGGGACGCCACTTCTGGATGACCAAAACAATTGCTATCAACTCCCTCTCATAGACAGTTTTAGCTGGGCTCTGGCAGTCAACACCTGGCTGACATATGCAATGGGCTTGTGACTCTGCATCAACACTGCTCCCAGCCCGTATCCTGATGCATCTGTCTCCACTATAAAGGCCTGAGTAAAATTCGGTAAAGCTAAGACTGGAACTGTGGTCATAGCTTTCTTCAAACTGCTCAAATGCTGTCGTTGCTGCCCCCCCCCATAGAAATCCATCTTTCTTCAACTGCCAGTGAGTGGCCAAGCTATAGTGGTGTATCCCTTCACAAATCTTCTGTAGTACTCTTAAAGCCCTAGGAATCCCCTCAGCTCCTTTAGATTTTTGGGCAGTGGCCCACTTAAGCAATGGCCTCAATCTTGACTGATCTGCTGCTACCCCTTCCTTAGATATCACATGACCCCAAGTACTCCACACTGGCTTGTGCGAAGCAACACTTCTTCAAGTTAGCCCTCAGCTGGTGCTCCTGGAGAACCTCTAACACCTCTTTCAAGTGCCCCCAGTGCTCTTCCTCTGTTATTCTATACACTAAGATGTCATCGAAGAATACCGCAAAAACAAATCGCCTCAGATACTGTTTGAAAATCGTATTCATGAGTGCCTGGAAAGTGACTGGAGCATTGGTGAGGCCAAAGGGCATCACCAGGAACTCATAATGAGCCCTCATGAGTTCTTAAAAGCTTCTTGGGCACATCTTCTTTCTTCATTCGAATCTGATGGTATCCAATTTCAGGTCGATATTGCTGAAAATCACCGTTCCACTCAATTCAATCAACAAATTCGTCAATCACTGGTATGGGAAACTTATCAGGTACCGTTTCCTTGTTGAGTGCGCTGTTATCTACACAAAACCGCCAACTGTCATCCTTCTTCTATTTACCAATAGAATAGGACTAGAGAACGGGCTGGTGCTAGGCCTGATGATCCCTGCTTCCAGCATTTCTCTGATCAACTAACTTTCTACCTATTCATCCTTTTGAACTAAGGGCAACGGTAAGGTCGCACGCTGACCGACGACACTCCCTCTCTTAATGTGATGGCGTGCTTCTGCTCCCTGGGTGGTGGCAACCCTAGGGGGGTTGAAAAACCTCCTCGAACTCCTCGATCAAGGGCTGCACAGAGAGGGGTATGTCTCCCCCATCCTCCACACTCACTCCCTCTAGTCGGTGTAATTCCACCAAGTAGCCTTTCCCTTTTCCTGAATTGTTTTGATTAGGGATTTAAGAGAAACCCCTGCCTTGGTCAGTCCTGCATCCCCTTGAATCACCATTTCCTTCCACCTTCACCAACTCCATCCGCAGTTGGCCCCAATTGATTTTGGTTTCCCCCAAAGTCTGCAACCACTTCATCCTTAGGATGACATCCATACTCCCCAGTTCCAGAGGGAAGGAAGTCTTCCTTCACTTGTATGCCTTGGGATTTTCAGCACCACTCTTCTTTGCAGATTCCTCTCTCATTTCTACCTTCCAAGTGCCCATCATCACCCCATAGCCCAGTTCCACTAACTTCATCTCCAACAGCCTTCCACAATCTGGGTGCGAAATGAAATTGTTGGTTGCCCCACTATCAATCAACACCACGACTCCATGGTCAGCTAATCTCCCTTCACCTTCATTAGTGTGACTCGATGAATCCCACATTACAGAGTTGAGAAGACTTCTGCCACATTAGATGCATCTTTTCCTCCTCCACCTCTGAATCGCTTCCCCCACCCTCTTCGTC